GAGGACTTTATTCCCTACTATCACATCCAGCATATTACATCTCATGACGTTAATTAATCTCATTTCTTTATGATTATGATGTATGATAATGGCATAATTTCTAATTAATCTCATTTCTTTATTCTCATAAACTTTGACTTCTACTTTCTCCCGGTACACCAAAACAAGTTTTCATACAAGATTATTTCAAATTAAATCCTATGTCATTACTACTGTACACTAGATAACACTAGATTTTACGAGGTATAAGGTCGGATTTCTTATGATTAGGGCATTTATTTAATTTCTATTATCTTTCTCCTTTTTTTTAGTTTATTATCATTCTCTTATTTTTAATGTTATTATTCACGAACTACAATAACTTTTCTTAATTCATTATTCACAGCTTTTGGAGCATATCTATAAGTATAATAAAATTTTATTTTCTCTTATTACAAGCACTTTTACCTATATTACTCACTACAGTTTCTCGTTGGATTAAATGTATATTTGGTTCAATTATTTATTTAAGGGTACCACCTAATTATATTTGTCAAGTTCAGGAGATTTATTATTGGGTCTCCACCTCTCGGTCTAACCCCTCTTTAATTATTCTTACCCTAAGTGTCTCTTATATGCTCATTATTTTGTTGTGTACTCTGCAGTGATTTTTATTTTTTCTCTGTAAATATGGGGAAACTATTCAGAATGGTCAAACTATTCTCATAGTCTCATTCCTATAAAACTCCAAGGGTGAAATTTTATCTCATACCAAAATAAACACTTTGCCATTCAACATGTTGATTTCAATCATGTATAATTCACTTGCAACCTTTAATATTTATGTTCCCAATGCTCTTCGTTAATCATCGCTTGTTTAAAGCAAGAGAGGCTAGGCTCCAGAAGTAGAGAGCATCACTTGTTTCGGAAGGAAGTTTTCAAAACCTGTAACCATGTTTTCTTGTCGACTTCATCGAAGTCCTCACGGATGTATAACAAGGCTCCAAAAATCACACCTACATGTGAGAATTTGGTAAAATAGAAAATCTGAAGGAAAGGGGGGTAGTGTTAGTTTGACACGTGGGTCGGTTATGTTTCTGTTTTTGAGAAATTGGTTAGCTAGTCGGTGGGAGAGTGGCTATATAAGGCCAATTGTAAATAGCTATCGAGGGGAATTATGAATTGAAAGTCTTCTTTGTACTCATTTTATTCTTATTGAATAAGAATTCTTGGATCGGAATTCCTTCTCTTTTTTTTTCGTGAATTCTCTTCTTTTCCTTGATGTTCTTCGATTGTTTTTGCATTCCTAGTTCATCCTTATCAAGTGGTATCAAAGAGCCAGGACCTTCCTTCAAGAATACATGGCTGATAATACCAGGAACCAGACAATAATTCGCGAGGTGGAAGATTGTATCAATGCAAACATTGATGCACGATTTCAGCAGCTGGATGCGAGGTTTCTTGTGCAAGATGACAAATTAAATGTGAAATTTATGGATTTCGCTGCAAACCTCAACAATTCTCTTCACGAAATGTTTTAGCAACACTCTTTGAAGAATTCTTCAACGCAGAATCATGGCAATCAGCATCAGGGTGACAAATCTTCTTCCTACTCTTGTAATACTCGTTCAGCCCATTTAGATTTTCCAAGATTCAGGGGTGAAGGAATAAAACAGTGGTTGATTCAATGTGAAACATTTTTTTTATTTATAATACTCCTGAGGATTATAAAGTGAAATTAGGGGTTGTACATTTTGAGGGGAAGGCACTTCAGTGGTATTCTGCATACGTCAAATTGGTGGGGATAGGAAATTTACCTTCTTTGCTAGAGTTTACTCAGATTTTGTTAGATAGATTTGGTTAAGTCTGTGAAGATCCTATGGCTAAACTGGTGAAATTAAGACATAAAGGGACTGTGTTAGAGTATCATGAAGCTTTTGATGTGATAGTTTTCAAGGTGGAATTGTCTCAAGAACATCAATTGCGTTGTTTTCTTGGAGGGTTGAAACAAGAGGTGCAAATGGTGGTTCGGATATTCCAACCAGATACAGTTAGAAAAGCATTTTCCCTTGCAAAAATGTATAAGTCTTCCTCTATGAATGAGGCCCAATCCAAACCTTTTGTTAAGCCACAAAAATCAACTTTCACTGCCAAACCACCCCTTCTACCTAACCCACCCAAACAACCTAATAACCCCTCCTTTAACCCTTTACCCAAAACACCAACCACTAGATATTTGACATCGGAATATATGGCTGACAGAAGATAGTAGGGTTGTGTTATTTCTGTGATGAACCCTTCACACCTGAACACAGTTTGAAACACAAGAAACTTCAAATTCATGTGCTAGAAGTAAATGAAGATGCAGCTTTACAGCATTCAAAAAATCTTGTTAGTGAAGAAGAAGGGGATCATCAGTTTGAACTATTAATATTTGTCTACGCTCTGACTGGAGTGGCTAATTTCAAAACAATAAAGGTGACTAGACAACACAACAAAAGAGCCTTGCACATCTTAATAGATAGTGGGAGCACACATAACTTCCTGGATGAGACATCAGTTAAGAAGTTGGGATGTAAATTGGAGGCAATACAACCTGTAATTGTTACTGTTACTGATGGAAATAAAGTTCAAATTTTTACTAAAGTAAAGAATTTCAGATGGTCCATCCAAAACATAACTTTTGTTTCTGACATGATGATCTTACCTTGGGCTGTTGTGATTTAGTATTAGGAATCGAATGGCTGGTGACTTTGGGAGATATAACCTGGAATTTTAATAAACTGACAATGGAATTTTATGTACAAGGAAGAAGGCATATCTTGATGGGAACTACAAGTGCAGGGCTACAAACAATTCGGAAGCAACAGATGCATAAGACCTTGTTTTCTGGTGTTCTTTTCTCCATGATAAGCCTTGCTAAGTCTGACACAGATTCCTTGCTGCATTCCTTGACTACTCACGCCACCCAATCATCCCTGCACCCTGACATTCAGAAACTACTTGATGACTACAATGATGTGTTTGAAATACCTACAGAGTTACCCCTAGCAAACCTAGTCATGATCATAAAATTCCTTTAACACAAGGAGTCAACTCTGTCAATAAGAGGCCATACAGATATGCTGTGACCCTGTCAATAAGAGGCCTAAACAACAAAAAGGATATTATTGACGAACTAGTGCAAGAATACCTTAAAACTAGAGTGATTCAACATAGCAACAGTCCTTATGCAAGCCCTGTTATTTTGGTTGGAAAGAAGGATGGAACTTGGAGACTTTGTGTGGATTATAGAGAGTTAAATAAGGGCATTGTTAAGAACAAATTTCTAATTCCATTGGTGGAAGATTTGATGGATGAATTGCATGGATCAACCATCTTCTCTAAGATTGATCTCTAATTTGGTTATAACCAAGTACGAATGAATGAAGCTGACATCTATAAGACTGCATTCAAGACACATGGAGGCCATTATGAATATTTAGTTATGCCCTTTGGGCTTATAAATGCTCTCGTAACCTTTTAGGGCTTAATGAACTCAATTTTTCAGGGTTTATTAAGAAAGTTTTTACTTGTTTTTTTTAATGATATATTGATCTACAGCAAGAGTCTCCCTGCTTATATCACTCATCTTCATCAGGTTTTAGAAACAATGAGATTAAACAGTTTATTTACCAAGCAGTCTAAATGTTACTTTGGTGTGGATAGAGTGGAATATTTAGGTCATTTCATCTCTAGAGATGGTATTGCTACAGACCCTGCAAATATTGAGGCAGTGCAGTTGTGGCCTTCTCCTCAAACTGTAAAGCAACTGAGAAGTTTTTTGGGTTTGGCTGGGTACTATAGACGGTTTGTTTACAGGTATGGTTCCATTGCTAAGCCATTGATAGAAATGTTGAAGAAGGATAATTTCTCTTGGACTCCTCAAGCCAAGGAAGCATTTCAACAACTTAAGCAGCAATTGATTAATGCCCCAGTTTTAGCAATGCTTGACTTTTCTCAACTGTTTGTGGTTGGAGTGGATGCATCTGGCCAACGGTTAGGAGCTGTTTTAGTGCAGCATAAGCATCCAATTGCTTATATAAGTAGGAATTTAAACAAGCAACAATAGTCTCTATCCACTTATGAGAAGGAGCTTTTGGCTATTGTATTTGCAGTTCAAAAGTGGAGACACTACTTACTCAACCAAAGATTTCTCATCAAGACAAATTATAGGAGTCTAAGGTACATCCTGGACCAAAGACTGAGTACTGCACTTCAACAAAGGTGGTTGGTGAAACTTATGGAGTTTGATTTTGATATTGAATATCAACAAGGTCATGAGAATGTTATAGCTGATGCTTTATCAAGAAGGGAGTTGGTGGAATGCAATACCATAGTGAGAATGGTGGTACGAACCAATTGCCCAATGGCCAAAGTTTTTAGGAAGCCGGAATTAGCTGGTCGACTAGTAGCATGGACAATTAAGCTATTCCAGCATGATATCCACTTTGAAAACTGACGCCTTCTCAAAGCTCAAGTACTTGCAGACTTCCTGAATGAATTTACTGCCCAGAAACATACCACAACCGACATGTGGAACCTGCACGTGGATGGATCCTCCAACCGAAAGGGTAATAGGGCAGGAATCATACTAAAGGGACCAAATACTATAATTATTGAACAATCCATTCAGTTTGGATTCAAGGCATCTAATAATCAAGCTGAATACAAAGTGCTCCTCGCCGGTCTCAGATTGGCAAAAGAAATAGGAGTAAAATGCATCATTTGCTGGACTGATTCGAAGAAAGTGGCCGAACAGGTTAATGAGACATATCAGGTGAAAGACTCGGTCATGCTCAAGTATTATCAAGAATTCAAGAAGATGGAGAATGATTTTGACAAGGTACAGGTTCAGCAAACACCGAGGATAATGAATGAACAAGTTGATAAGCTTGGTAGATTAGCTAGTCAAAGGAAGCTGGGGGCAAGAGATTCCTAAACCTAGCATCTATAAGCGAGAGTGTATGGACATAGGGAATATGCCTCAAAATTGGATGACCCCAATTATCCAATACCTCACCTACAAAATCCTACCAAATGATCAAGCCTCGGCCAAGAAAGTAAGAATGCAGGCAGCAAAGTACATCCTCCTCGGCAACGAGCTGTATAAGAGAGAAATTTCAACACCCATGTTGAAATGTCTTGACGAGGATCAGGCTAGCTATGTCATAAGGAAAATTCACGAAGGTATTTGTGGTACCCATTCGGGCGGATGAACTATGGCAGCTAAGATCCTTAGAGCTGGATACTTCTGGCCAACACTGTAACACCTTATATTTCTTTCCTCAATATATGATAAATTTTCATAAAAATTAATATGGTAAAGTAAATTTTCCTTCAAAACTTTCTAATAAGGAAAAGACATTGAAATGATATAAGGTTCATAGAGTAAAATTTCATTAATTCATAAGTACTTTAGGAAAACAAAGATTCTAAAGTTTTCATCAGCAATAAAGAGGAATAGTAGTTTTACAACTGTTTCAAAAGAATGCTATGGAACTGAAAATATTCATTACATAACTCAAAATAACTAAGTCCTATAGCAGTTCTCATCCATCCATGCACTGTGAGCCTGGTACTATTCAACCTGGTTTCCTGAAAAATGTTGTGTAAGGGTGAGTCTCTACCCTACCACTCATACATAACATATACATTCTTCACAAAACACATCTTATCACGATTAACGAAAACATCATGGCATTACATATCACAAGGTTATATAAAGCATATTCTCATCTCAACGCGCATTACATTACACAGATTCACAATTTCTTTTACTTTTATCAGCGCTTACCGCACCCTGTGGCCACAGTTATCCGATGCCTCTATCTCGAGGTCTTACACATTCATGTAAATAGTCGCCGGATGGCCCAATGCAATACAGATACAACGCATGCAATAGACGGCCCCTTAGCAAAGGTAATGGTCAGGAGTCAAGTCGAGAAATGAGTGTGTGGCCATGTGGTGCATTCGAACACAATATTCCGTGCACAATCCCGAATGTCACTCACCACCCTGTATTTCCCCAAGATATCCCATATCGTCTCCATCTTCCACTTCCCCAGTGTATCTCTGTAACTATTTACATCATATCTTTTTCCATCTCATACTCTTTTGAGCATATTCACATGTTCACATATGCCATTTATCATGTTTACACATATTTTTCATTATATTTCCACATACTTTTCATCATATACATCAAACCATGGCACATTCACAATACACATCATTTTTACATAAAACACAATATATTCAAACATGAAACATCCATCTCTTCGTATATTTTATATCACAAAATCATAAAATCATATCAACCATCCTCAATATACCTTATCATGCCCTATTTGAACATAATATCCCAATTTCACCATGTACTCATCATAAAATCACATAAACAACTAATTATTCTCACTTTTCACCGATTATTTCTCATAAAACAGGGATTATTTCACATATAATTACATACATGACAAGATCTATGAGAATACAAGTAATAAACATAACGAAATGATAAAGTAGAGCCCCCCTTACCTCAAAACAGAGCTTTTACAAGGATTTAACCGAAGGTTTAACTCTAGAACGGAGGTTTTCCTAAGAACATCATGAACATCTATAAGAAGAAGAGAAACGAACGGTAAATCTACTTCAAACTTAGAAAAACTTACTTGTAATCCTTTAGATCGAACGTAGAATCACAGATCTGAAGAAAAATCTAAGTTTAGGAGGTTTAGTATGGGAGAAAATGGCGAGATATGACCTTAGAACCTTTGAGAACCTTGGATAGGAGTGAAGAAATGAAAATTTTGTCTGCAACCCCCTTTTTATAGAAAATTTTCGAATTTACTGTTCACCGCCGGAAACACTGTTCACGCCGGAAACACTGTTCGCGGTAACTGTTCACGCCGGAAACACTGTGCACACGTATTGTACACGGATTGTACGCATACTGTACGCGGATGTGACGTCATCCATGACGTCATGCTGATGCCATTGATGACGTCATCGTCACTGTACAAAGGCGGTTCACTGTTCATACGCGTTTTACTGTTCATAGACACTGTTCATAGGCAGTTTTACTGTTCACTTTTTTTTTTTATTTTTATTTTAAATTCTATCCAAATCTATTCCAATTATACTTTAACAAACCTCATTTTATTTAAATCAAAATATAGGATGTTACAAACACTCTCCCAAGACTGTCATATATTTGTACAGAAGTGCATCCCTTGTCAAAAGCATAGTCCTCAGTTGCACCAACATGCTAACACCCTTCACCCCATCAGTTCTCCTTGGCCCTTTTCCATTTGGGGAATGGACCTTCTCGGTCCTTTTCCCTTGGCAAAAGGGTAGTGCAAATTCCTGATCATCATCGTAAATTACTTTACTAAGTGGATTGAAGCTGAGTCACTCGCCACCATAACAGCCAACAATGTACAAAAGTTTACTTGGAAAAATATCATCACACGTTTTGGTCTCCCTAATGCCTTAATTACAGACAACGGGTTGCAGTTCACAGACTGCCGGTTTAATGAATTCTTGGAAGGGCTTCACATCAAGCATAGGGTTACATCCGTTGAACATCCTCAGACTAATGTTCAAGCCGAGGCTGCCAACAAGGTCATCTTACATGAACTAAGAAGAAGATTGGGATCTGCAAAGGGAGAATGGGTAAAAAGGTTGCCCGAGATCTTATGGGCGCAGTGTACGCCACAAACAGCTACAAAGGAGACACCCTTTCGGTTGACATACGGTACTGATGCCATGGTGCCAGTTGAGATTGGTGAGCCATTGTTTCAGAGACAAAACTTCCAGGAATCGACCAATGATGAATCCCTAGCCGTCAACCTTGATTTACTGGAGGAAGTACGCGGTCAAGCGGCAATAGTGGCCGAGGCTAGTAAAAGAATAATGTCGAGGAAGTTCAATTCTAAAATTAAACCAAGATAATTCTACGTGAACGACTTGGTGTAGCGGGTAACCAGAGAAGCACGCCGAGACTGATGCGAAGGGAAATTGGCAGCCAACTTGGAAGGACCTTTTCGGGTAGCAGCGAGACTAGACAATGGAGTATACAAGTTGGAGACGTTAGAAGGAAAGCTTATACCGAGAACTTGGAACGCCACGCACTTGAAACATTATTTTAGTTAAATGCATGCAACTTGTAATTTGTGCACTCTTTTTCTCGCCCAGGTTTTGTCCTCTTAAAAGAACGTGAAAAGGGGTTTTCCTAGGAAGGTTTTTAACGAGGCACCTTATCAATGAAATACTTCTTCTCAGCTATTCAGTTTTTATCTGTCAATAAAATCTCTCCAGCACTTGATTAAAACTGAAATAATTAATTCCCTCCCGAGTACCCCTACTCGGACAAGGATGAATCATTATTAAAATTCCCTCCCAAGTACTCCTACTTGACTAAGGTTGAATCAATTAATTCCCGCCCGAGTACTCTTACTCGGACAAGGATGAATCCATTATTAAAATTCCCTCCCAGGTACTCCTACTTGGCTAAGATTGAATCAATTAATTCCCTCCCGAGTCCCTTACTCGGCCAAGGATGAATCTATTATTAAAATTCCCTCCCAAGTACTCCTACTTGGCTAAGGTTGAATCAATTAAATTCCCTTCCGAGTACCCCTACTCGGCCAATAATGACAAACAAGTATTCACTGTTGAAGAAATTTCATTTATTGGTTATAACCGTTCGGTTTGGTTGTTTTTGTATATAAAAGTACACAAAACATAACAAGAAAAGAATTGAACCTGTATTCATAGTTGGAACTTCGATTACAAAATTTGGGCGCTATCGGCCCATGAATACAAAGAAAATCAAAAACCTAGTTCTAAATTCCCTCCTCTCCGGCATTAGGACCGGGTGCGTCAGGACTGGGGCCCTCGGTACCGAGAGCATTGTTATTAACTTCTATTTGGCAGGGAACTTCAGTGTCAGGCTCTACATTATCATCCACTTCATTATATGGTAAGAACTTGCCACCGAAGAAGTCTTTGGTAAGATCAAAACAGAAGTCAGCTGACACTTGGCAGAAACCATAGCATTGACGAACTGCATGGTTAAAGCCTGACTCATGTTCGATAGCTACTTGGACTGAACACTTGTCAGAAAAGGCCTTCAGCTCAGCATCAACCTTTTGTCTCTCAAGACTCACTGCCTCTTCCTTTTCAACAGATTTGACCCTTAAAGCCTCCTCCATTCCCAAAAACTTCACCCTGAAAGCCTTCATTTCTTCCTCTTTAGCCCGTAGGGCTTGCATAGTAGCCTGGAGCCGATTCTCCACTATATGATAATGTTCCTTGTATTGAACAACCTCGGCCTCCAAAGCTTTATTGGTCTTAGCAAGATTTAGCCGAATTTTTTCATTATCTGTTAAAGCTTGCTGAGAGGTAGAGTACTCATTTTACACCCTCCTCATCTCCAGTGTGGGCTCCAGTGCTAGTCTTCAAAGCATCATTATGGATCGAATTTGAAACTCCGCATAGCATCGCCACAGAGACTCGAGGACCAGGTTGCTGACTGCTTCCTTTCCTGCATCTGAAAGTAAGTTAGGCGCAACCACTTGTCCAGCATGTACTCCTGGGATGAGGAAGGTGTCGGATAAGAAAGCTGGAGGAATAACAGAGTTTGAAGAGCTGCTAGTCCTAACCATCAAGTCACCTTGGGCTTGACTTCGTGCCCCCTCTGAACCACTCGATCTACCCGAGTAGGAATGCTTCCTCTTTTTCTCCCTCTCGGCCTTTTTTTCTTTGCTTTTCTCCTTTTCCTTCTCCTTTTCTCTACGCCTCTTGGGCTGATTCTCTGCAATGACAAGGTCTCGGGGAGGAGGACGAGGCCTGGTTACCTTTGGTATATGGTCGATTTGAGGGTTTCGGTGCTCCTCAATGGGTGTTTTTTTAGGAGCCCTAGTCTTCAAGGTCTGACGATAGGTTGGTACTTAATACCACGTTGAGCCATCAGACCTACAATAAAAATAAAGAGTCAAATCAATACAAATTAATTCAAAAAACTAAACCATAGGGATGAAACACACCATCCATGTCCAGGCGAGGATGAGGAGATTTTCACACTAAGAGTATGTGTCGGGCAAGAAGCTCTCGGGGAAGAGATTTCAAATAATCAAAGGCCGATAACTCTCTAGCCGACAACAGGTCCTCTGAAATCCAGTCGTACCGGCGAGGCACTCGGGTCCAGTGGAAGGGAAAGAGGGGATTATTTTCACTATCAAAGAAAAAATTTCTACCTACAGGATGGACGGTTACTTTAAAGTAGTCGGTCTTAAAACCCTTAAAAGAAGAAGCGTAAGGCTTGAATAGTGGCAATTCCGGTTGCCTTATTAAAGATACCCACCTTGCTAAATCTGAAGGACGAGTACAAAAGAAATGAAGAAATAAACCTACACTAGGTTCTATGTAATGAAATTTACATAAGACTCTAAAAGCTTGGATAGTTGCCCATCCATTCGGATGGAGTTGTGTCGGCGCTACATTTAAAACCCTTAACACTCCCATTTGGATGTCGTCTAAAGGTAGCTTTATACCTAATTCTCTAAACATATACTCATACATAAAGAAGTTGTTGGCCATCCCGGCACCCCCTAAAAAAACAAAATTCGAGTTTCCGATTTCCTCTACTAGGCAAGGGTTAATGGATGTGGGGTAGGGATCAGAAGGTTCCTATAAGGAAATGTCAATATGGTCAACAAAGGATTGAAGACTCTTATTTTTTCTAAATCGGGAGAAGTAGGCGGCTACTTCACCGTGCACCCACTTGTATCCAGGAAGTACACAAGAAGGGAATACTGGTTTTTCCTTAGGGGGCTTATGCTCGGTAGGGGCTCACAAAAATCAGAAGTAGCGAACTCAGACGATTCGACCACGTCATTGCGTTCTCTTATCTCTACTTCATTTACCCCACTCAATCTTGAAGAAATTTCCAACCCCCTTCGGTTCTGTCAGCATTCTGACCATCGACACTAGTCGGTCTAGATGAATCTGACAGCGAGTCCTCCCATTCCAAGGATTCAGCCATGATAAAATAAGGAAGGGAAAAAGAAAACTAAATGTACCTCACAGGTAGTCGGTTCGGAAGAAAGAGAGGAAATTTGAATACCCTTCGATTTGGAGCAACAGTATATACTTCTCGGCTCAGAGAAAAAGTGAAGAACAAAAAACCTGGACCACCATGTACTTATAGGGTTTAGGGTCCTCGGATATGTGAAGGGTCGCACCCCTTCCAGACCGACAGATCTCTTTTAGATCAAACGGTTGAGATCGAGCACCCTTTCGTTTCATATGCGCATATCGAGGAAACCCTAAAAACCTGAAGTTCTAGAATGATCTTTTTTCTTTATTATTTATTTTTATTTTTATTTGTATGATTTTTCATTTTTTTCTTCTTTAGTCTACGACACTTTTTTGAAAAATCGAATACTCCTTTGATATGCACTCTCGCCCACTAAATATGACTTCATATACCTTAAACGAATACCCTATTCGGCCTACTTACATTCCTAAGACCGAATACCCCCTCGGTATTTCTGCCCTCCCTATAAACCGAGTACGCCCTCATCTACATGTGCCTAATACTTGTCTATTTTCAAGTCCTTACCTCGTACCTCTTCAGGCTTGGGGGCTAGTGTACTGAATAGGGAACTGCTCGGTTCTACATTTAGGAAAAGGAAACTGAATACCTATTCGGCCCAGTTTGGTCGAATACCTTATTGTTAGGATTAAAAGGTAATTAACCCAATTAAGGGTAATAATCAAAGCATTATCTACTTTAAGTAAAGGGCCATAATCAAGGCTGACTCAGCAGGCCCATTGGCTCATAAACAATGCCTATAAAAAGAAGGTAGGAAGTATAGGTAAATGGTTGACTTCTCATTATAAAATAACATTTATTACTCAGAACCGATTCCTGACTTCAGTATCAGAGTGCCTTTTGTAGATATCCTCCCCACGTCAGTGACAGTCAGGAGGACGTCATCGTTTCAGAACAGAGACTGGAAGACTAGTGTTTCCCTAGTAGGAACAAGGCCAATCGTAAATAGCTATCTAGGGCAATTGTGAATTGAAAGTCTTCTTTGTACTCATTTCATTCTTATTAAATAAGAATTCTTGGATCGTCCTTCTTCTTTTTTTTTTTCTGTGAATTCCCTTCTTTTCCTTGATGTTCTTTGATTGTTTTTGCATTCCTAGTTCATCCTTATCAAAATCAATTTCATAAAATGCTAATGTTATAGCAATAAATTGAAAAAGGTTGTATCAGTTAATACCTGTATCATAGCCAAATAGAAGATCTCCCATGCCAACAAATAAAGCAAGGCGCATAATGTAAGGTGAACCAGTTGCTCTGTGACAACATTATGTGAATTCGGCTTTGCTTGCACTTTGGGGACCCCCTTTCCATACTTACACGTTAGCTAGCGACTGTGAAAAAGGTATTGATTGGTTAATGCAGCTTCAATCATTCACAGGGAAGTGTTTGTGCAAAAATCAATCCCAAACCAAATCAATGTCCCTCACTGCTATTAAAATTATGAAACATGTCACCTTGATTTTCTCTTTCCTTTACCTGCATTCCTCGCTTTTCCCCTTTCGAGAAATCAGATCCGCTATAAGTTGCAGTGTGTGTATGTGCAGTTCTGAATTCTACCATTGAAATCAGTTCCAAATTCCCGTTTCATAAAATTGATGGAATTTTTAATAGTGGATCAAAAAATTACATTTGAATGTGTTCAGCGATAAATATTAAAGGCTGCACCAGAGTCCCCAATAGAGACGACAAAATCTCAAATCCTGTAGTTTCGCTTGAAATTGGGCGAATTTAACTACTTATCGTTGTCTCACAATTTCGTGACGAATTTAGTGTATTTCATCTCTTTGTTATACGATATTATATAAATATATGTGTTGAGTTTTATAGTATTTTGTCT